CCCCGGACCCCATGGCCCGTAGAGAGGGAGAGAGAGAGACTTTGTTGACTAACCTGTGCCCTTTGCTTTCCCTGCCACACGGGAATTCGTGTCAACAACCTGCCCAAGTGTCGACCAGAGCCTAGGAGTCTCCAGCTCTGTCTCAGTAACACCCAACTATGCATCTTTCTACTACCGGGGTCATGCTCTTAAACCTATGTTGTTATTTTGCTCGCACTTCTAGGGGCTCCGCGACGCTAACCACACCCGAACAGGAACCCGGGGCCAAACTCAGCTCGGAGCACCGGGGTCACAAAGTGAGTGTTCCCTTATTGTGTTGACAACCTTTTTGCCATGCTGCTTCCTTGCCACCCCCTTTGCACCGGTGCCCGAGCACAACAGGCCAGAAGACCTACCCTGTAACAGCGAAACGGTCGGAGTGTACCTGCCGTAGCTGTGGCCTCTTGCTCTCATCGGTACCCATCTTCTTGCTCGCGCAGAGAGCCGACTTTTCGCTTCGGGAGCAAATCCAGCAATGACTGGAACCACAACCTGCTCAACAAGGCGGGTCCATGCTGAAGCTCCCCTAGAGGCCACTTCGTGTCACACAGACCGAACGTGGACTCAGGCATAGCACTGTGCGCTGGGGTTGGACTAGGGGCCTCCCTCTGCCCCCCAAGCGCCCTGCAAGCAAGCAAGCAAGAGACAGATCGAGAGGGGGGGAGTAATCCTCATGCCCATGGCCCTGCCGAAAGAAAGAAAGGGGGGGAAAGCAATCATAGCAATCTATGATGGAGGTAGCGGTTTTATTGCTGTGGTGTCTCCGCCCCGGAGCTCTCAGCACGCTGGAGCAAGCCAGACCTACAAGCCATGCTCCAAACGTAGTCCTGTGATGTCCTGTGTCATTTTTGCACAAACATGAATACAGGCGAGTTACACTGTCGTTTGACGGGGGAATCCTACGCCCTATCTGTCGTTCTGAACAAAAAATCCCACAAAAGGCGAGCGGGCTTGAAACCCGGGGGGCCTGACAAGCCCCTTAAGCCTTGGAGAAGAAGTGAGGACGGTTTCATGTTACACCTACACTGCCCTCGCCTGCCTTTCAGAAGAGTGACGCTCGCCACAGACCGACCAACCCAGTTCGCGTTCGCGCGCAGAAGGGTTTCGTGCGCTTCTTGTCTGAGTGGAAGAAGAGGGAGGACTAAACAAATGGTCAGTCAGCCC